CTTCCTCTCCACTTTAGTGTCTGCCATCAAAAACCTTGGGCAAAGAAGACAGCCATTTCATTTGAGACCATGACATTTTTCTTCCTCATGTTAGAATTGGAATGAATAGAAAAGGAAGTGTCTTCTTTTTAAGTAGGCAGGGATTATATCATTCTTTACCAAAAACTCAGATGTTCAATAATGATTGTTAAGCCGGGCGGTGGTGGCGCACGCCTTTAATCCCAGCACTCGGGAGGCAGAGCCAGGTGGATCTCTGTGAGTTCGAGGCCAGCCTGGGCTACCAAGTGAGTTCCAGGAAAGGCGCAAAGCTACACAGAGAAACCCTGTCTCGAAAAACCAAAATAATAATAATAATAATAATAATAATGATTGTTAAGAGTTCCTTCCATGTTATCACTTATCAAAGGACTTAGGTCAAGAAGACAATTTTCTCATTGCATTTGGTGGTGAACAAAAAAAAAGGTAATAAAATTCTCGTATAGTGATACTTGATAAGTACCCCAGCACATGCTGTTAGATGGAGTATGTGTGCCTGCCATCTGATTCCTTTATGGGTTCTAAATGTCTTTCCAGTGTTTATAAATAAAGTCTGTAGATCCTAGTACGAAGCTCCAAAACGAAAAAGCCTTTATTGTTTGGCTTCTCATCTCTGAATTATTGTAGCAAATCCAAAGCTGGCTTGGGATTCAAATTTGCATTAATTTTTGTCAAGAAAAAAAAAAAAAGCACCCAGCCTTCTGAAGCGTAGTTTTCCCTGGCAAGTTTATTGCTGTGTCAGTTGTTGTGAAATCGGAGGTGTTCCTGATTTGGCCGAAGCCGGAAGGCTTGAAAACAACACTGAGGTATCTGCAGCAGGCTGGGAGTTGGACAGAGGGCTGAAGATGAATGCACAGGATCACATTTTTCTGAGCTGGTGTCATAGACGCCCTTCTCAGTAATTACACGAGCTCCCGTAATGCGGCAATGACTAATGGCGGTGGCAGCAATTAGGGGCCTCAGCTCCCTCTACTGTGCTAGTTGATAAGATAATGTACTATAATTAGTGCAATGAATATTACAGAATTACAGTATTTCCTTAAAGACATAGGGGTATGTCCAGACTCACATTTATTCCTGATTACTTCACTGTAGTATCATTAGCTAATTAATGATTTCCTTTAATAAATATGTTGAGTTAGCATATTTGGTTAGCAAGGGGATTAATCATGAACCAATTTCTAATTCTGTTGCAGATGCACCCGGAGTAACATCCGCTTAGAAATTTTTTTAGCCGCTCTAGTTTACTTCATCTTTGCAAATGGCAACCGTGATAGATTTAGCGACGGAAATCGGTCATTCCCCTGTCTTGAAGCCACATTGAAAGAATTATTTAGGGAACTGTTTTCACTGACTTACATAATGAGTGTGGTATATGGTTGGGAATAGCTGTCGCCCCCCCCCCCCACACACACACACACACCGTGCGCTTTTTTTATCCACCATAAGATTGTCTCTTATATAACAAGATGATTAAAGTGCATTCTGTTATTCCACCTAAGTAGACAAAGCTGAAAAAA